TTTTATTTTTAATTAAAAATAAATATAATCGGTAATCCTTTTTAAATCTTTTTTTTAATTTGAAAAACCAGTGACATAATATTTTTTATTTTTAATTAAAATAAATTTAATCAATAATCTTTTTTAAATGTAAGTACTTTTTTGGTATATTTGTTTTATTTTATATAATGTAAGTACTTTTTTGGTTCAAAAAATGTTTAGGGACTTTATCGCTCAAAATATGAATGTTCATTGATTTTTTTTCTCATTATTTTACTATGTTAATTAGTTTTATAGATCATAAAGATGTATATAACAGATTTTATAAAGTCGAAGAAGTTGTTTAACATGTTTTAGAATATCCAAGGACTTATTTGTTCTAAAAATTTTTCCAAAGACTTAATCATTTCAAACACTAATTACAGTTTCTATTTTTAACTAATTACAGTTTTAGTCAACTTTAGTTTTTATTTTTAACTGATTACAGTTTTAGTCATTGTAGTTGCCATTTTCTTTCATTTTTAGTCCTGCAACCAAGAACATAACTCACCTYTCTCTCCATGAGCACTCCAATTATTGGAACTTCATCTCCTTCATCGTCTCCAACCAATGACCCCCACAACACACACACGTATGAAGCTTCAGATCTGATTCAGTGAACGAGATCGGTACATAATCRGGATTACTATTTGGGACCGGTAAACGGGATTACTATTCAGTCGTACGCACATCCTTACGTTGACCATGTTCTGTAATTGCATGTGATTTCAGTATAAAACGACATGTAATTTGRTCATTTCTTGTGTTATCTTAATTTGATCATATTCTCGTATGAACTCTCCTCTATTAATATAATCTAGCATATAAGATTAATGTGTTTTTTAGTTAAGTTGTAATATGAACTTGGAGGTAAGAAGTGAACGCTTATATAAATTACCTTAAACCAGAGATCATCATAAAACGAGGATCAAGGCCCTTTTGGGGTCTAAGAACAACGCTCACTACAAAAAAAAATGGACTTTCACTGTCAAATTTTTCCGTTACAAATCAGTGGCCGATCATCAGCAAATTACGAGCGCTCCTTGCGATGGTCATGATCATGTTATACACTATGTCATCATTAGAAGTCAACATGTTTTTAGAAAGCATGGTTCAGAAAGCCAAGTATGAAGTTCAGAAGGTACGATTCGATGCACTTCACTTCAAACAAAATCCCATATTCAGAAAGTACGAGGAGGAAGGCGATCTTATRTTGGTGGTCATATGATGTATRGCAACAAAGATGAGGGTCACAARTTACGGATAGGGTAGGATGGCGATCAATGCTAATTAAAATGTCGACGATCAAGAATTGGCTACCCAAAATTGCACACTTGAATACGATCAGAAATACAAAGCTCAGTTTCTGCTAAATTTAACGGTTTRGGAACTCTACAATAGCTTTCTTGGGTGCCTAATTATTCTGTAGCCATCTCAACACGAATTCTACGAAATATGATCGACTTTCGGTGCTCTCACATCACCATCCCTCCGTCGATGGTAAGCACCWGCAAGACAAAATGATCATATGTTTAAGTTGACATGCCATGGGTGTGAGAAGGGTATTGAACCACCRCGCAAACTAYATCTTCTWAAAAAAGAAAAAAGTTAATAAGTTATTGTTACCACCACACYAACCATTCTCCTAAGAGGGTGTAATTTTGGAGAGAGAAGGTATATTATACTCCTTTGGTTATTCCCAAAATAAATGTTCACTTTCAAAGTAATAGGTCTACTTTCCAATTCTACCCTTAAATTATAAGATGGAAAATTCATTACTCTCTCTATTATTAAGGGTACAATTGYCATTTACTTGATTAAAGTGTAATAACTACACATTTGTAGAACTATGCATTTTTCATTGCGGACATTTATTTTGAAACGAAAGGAGTATTTGTATTACATGTTTTTCTTCCTGTTGGAGTGTCCTATTAGCTAGACATGTACCATCAAACTTGTATGGACTTTTTGAGAGAAYTCAAAGGATTCGACAAATCCTACACGGTATCAGAGCTGGGGCCTACCACCACTAGGGGCTTGAGACACTCTTTCGCCTCGTTTATTGGGGGCACCGTCTAGCCTTTATTTGAGGGGGCATGTTGGAGTCCCACATTAGCTACACWGGTTTATATATATACACATGTTTGACGGTTTATATATACAGTGGGAGTTTCAAATAAAAAGGCTAAATATCGTGAAAAAGGTTGGAAAAAGTCCATTTGAAGATACATATGTGAACCCATATGAATAATCTGTAATGTCAGTTCACATATGCATCTTCAAATAGGTTTTTTGAAAATTTTCATATGATTCACATAGAAACCTCCTTTCTTACCTTCTCACGGTTATTGACACACACACACACACACCCACACACACACACATATATATATATAGGAAGCTAACATATCTCTATATATAGGCTCTTGTAGATAAATATGGAAAGGGGTTTCCACATAAAAATGGTAAGTTTGCATGTAATTAAGATTTACTCTTTCCGAATATGGTGATATAATGTCAAATCTTGCTAACATGGGACGATTGTTAAATTCAATATTTTCTCGCACATAACCAAAACAATGTAACATATAATGCAAGATTTGGGTGATGTGAGAACCTGTCCAGTTATGTAACTAGCTGCAGGATTGAGAGCCAAGAATTCGACKAGCCCARCAACTTCTTCAGGTTGTCCATACCTTCCTGTACATCAAATTAAAAAGAACCAAGTTACTGTCATTTGTCACAAAAGTCACCAGTTACAAAACTTTGCTTCTCTGTCCTCACAGTTGCATCCCAAACACACAAAAATGTACTCCATGTGCTCAAAATTAATTGTGGAAATGTGACATTTCATGACACATAGTTGCCTTGAAATGTTTGATTATTAATCAAATGCGCAAAAATCTCTCTAAACAAAGACACAATAAAAGAAACTTAGAATCGGAGTAACAATTTTCAAGTAATAAACAAAAATGCAATAATTTGACAACCCAATATGGAAAATGTATTTTTGGGCCAGAGGGAATGTAATAAAATACGAGATAGTGAGGTGGCTGTTTACTTACCGGGTAAGAGGCTCTTAGCCAGTAAGAGATGATGTTCACTACACTTCCGACTGACCGAGGTGCTGACTGAGTCAGCCACCAATATGTCACTGACTGAGTCAGCCACCAATATGTCACTGACTGAGTCAGACAATGCTTACCCAATTTGTTTTTATCCGTAAACCCTTGCTACAATATACTTGGTAATCAACTATTTTCAGTCACCACTAACCCAGTTCAGACCTCTTACCCATACCACACTCTCACATGGTTAGCGCTTACCCAATTTGTGTTGGTAAACGGAAAGTTTCATCATGTTACTTGCCAGGATCATTACATTTAATAAGAAAAAGAAGAAACAAGAGACAGCTACTGATGAAAAGGCAGAAAAGAAATATCTTACCCAACGGGATTTGTGCCAAGATCTTTTTCTCAAAGTCTTCCCCAAGCTTAGAAGTCATATCAGATGCAATAAATCCGGGGGCAATAGCATTAACCTGTAATAGAGTGATAAGCTAAATAGTTCTATGACTAGATCTGGACACAGGAAAAAAAAGAGCACAGCTGCAGAAACTCACATTTATGTTTCTGCTTGAGTATTCCTTTGCCACAGTTTTAGTAAAACCAATTACTCCGGCTTTTGCAGCGCTGTAGTTGGCTTGCCCAACATTGCCAACCAGACCAACAACAGATGCTATATTGATGATTCTTCCCTGATTGAATAACATGGTCAGTAGATTAAACCAACAAACAGTTCCCATGCAGATCCAGGAGAACAAAATACACACCAAGAAAAGCCAAAAAGAAAACAAATTCATTTTTCTGGATTGTTTTTTAGAACAGTGCACAAGTCCCTCAAAAAGCAAAAAATAAGAGACAATATTCTTCCACATTTTTTGGGTATCCGTGAGTGTCCGGGCCAGCTTGTGCTAACCTCAACTTATCCTATGGCCCCCTGCAGTTAATAGTCAGGCAAACCCTTCGGTGGCCTTGAGGGGACTTGAAATGGTGACCTCTGGGGACCAAACCTAAGGTCTTATATTTTCCTTTCAGATGTGTACAAATGTATAGCTAGAAACCACAAGGGTGGTGCCTGATTGGTTTGAGCTTGGCTCCAAAGGTCAAAAAGTACCAGGAGGTCCCAAGTTCAAATCCAAGAAGAAATAAAAATCCCCTTGTGGCCACGGAGGTTCAAATGCGATGACTCCATGCTATCTATAAAGCAGGTGGTCGCCCTGAGTTTAGTCGGCTCGCATAGCGAGTTGTATATCTAGGTTAATAAAATTAATGTATAGCTAGAGATGTCGGATTCTTCAGAATATTTCACCCAACACAACTATACAAGCTGAGAACTGAAAAATAATCACTTATTTATTTTCTACGTTTATGCAAACTTGTTTTCAATGAGCTAAGTTAGAGAGTTCCAGTCTAGGATGCAATCAACTATGGCACAAAAGAAAGAAATGCTATACATTTCAAGCCAGAGGTCTAGACTACTATAGGGAAACAAGATACTAAAAGACACTTGATGAGACTACCTTTTTCTTCTTCATCATAATTTTGGCAGCTGCCTGAAAAGAGAGAAAATTTAGTAAAAACGATACCCGAATATGCCAGTGAACAAATATTTGACAATGTTCAAGAACCAAACCTGTGTGCATAGGAATACACCAGTGAGATTCAAATCAATGACCTCCTGCCATTGAGATGTTTTCATCCTCATCAACAAACCATCCCTTGTAATCCCTGTATCATTGGTTGAGATCAAATTAGAAAATGAATATGTGTTGGTAAGAGAGAAGAAAAGAGAACAGAAGAGACAGGGATGGATTATCTTTGCATTTGGTTAGAAAAGGAAGTGGGGAAAGAGGTCACATATTGTATTCTACCGCTTATGCCCTCATATTATATATATAGTAATTTCTGCAACAATTATACAGATACCTAGCAAATTAGAAAAAAAACAGAGAATATTATTCTTGACTCTTTAGAAGTTGTAGAGCAATTTTGAGGATGTTCATTATACACACGAAAAGACATTTTTCTTATTAAAATTTAAAATATATATAAAGGAATTTAATTGTCAATCTTCGAATAACTTCTTTTCTTCCTAAGATTGTCCGACTTTTTCTTGGTTTTTACATAGTTAATTACTGTCGGGAAATCAAGTAGTTTAAGACTGTTTTATTAACCGCTGTTTTGTTGTATTTCTAAATGAAGGTATAAAGGGAAGAATATTTCTACTTATTTCCCTCTTTTTTTAAAAGATCTATACTCTTTCTGTAACTTCTTTCCTATCAAACATGAGAAAAGAGTGAAACTTAATGTGATTGAACTCTTCCCTCATCTTCATTCCTACCAAACAGAACCTAGAAGTAAGACTGTGATATGGAAGGGGTGGGGGGAACTAGAATTAGGTAACCTGCATTGTTGACCAATACATCAACAGTCCCCCATGCATCAACTGCCTGTAATGAATATAAAGAGTCAACAAAGTTCCAAAGAAGTCTTAAACAAAGAATCAAGATGTGACAGAATTATTGCTCACAGTTTTTATCATAGATGCAACATCTGCTTCTTTTGAAACATCTCCCCCGAATGTAAGTGCTTGACCACCCACGGCCTCAATCTGAAAGGAAACAACCACTTCCATTATATGAAATCATGAGTTATTACAAGAAAACAAGATTGAACTAAGCCATTTACTTTGTTTTTGCCCTAATAGACACCCTTCCCCAGTCCTCATACTTGGTGGCATTCCTTCTACTTAATAACTCAGAGTTCTTGCATACAAATTCAGAAGGCTATAGCAAAATGATAAAGTTATATATCAGACCTCATCTCAGGAATCTGATAAAGAGTTTAATGTACTAGTAAATCAACTAGCAAGTTCAAACCCCTTCATTTAAGTCACTTATGCAAGCACAGGAAGCTACTCAGAGCAGCAAAATAAATCAAAATTCATTGCTCACCACTTCTAACACTGATTTGAAGGTAGGAACACACAAGTTCCAAACACAGATTATCATGTAAAAAATATTAAGGATCTGTTAAAAATTCACCTCTTTACAAACTTCTTCTGCCTCCTTGGACGATCTTGCATAATTAACCAGAACCTGCAAGATTAAGACAAACCCTACCATAAGAAGAGAAAACACAATTTTCTCTGACCCACCACCAAAACATCATGTGTGTAAGGGATTCACATCAACATCTAAATCGAAGTGTGTTAATTCCATCATGCGACCACCAAAACAACTAAATTTTCAGCCTTGTGTAATATCTGGAAGAAGAGACTATTAATAATATACCAATGGAACTATTCGTGAGATCCATTCCTTTGCCATTTGTAGGCATGAGTGGGTGCTCTACATCTTAAGAAGGTAGCTAAGCTGGTCCTCAAGTGGATATGCATTCCATTTGAATCAAAGTAATCATTATACAATATATAGACTACATACATGCTCACTCTAGAAACACATAAGGTGGTGTGCAGGTATTATTAGGCTATATACCATGAAACTGTTTATCATGCAATTGCCGAGACCAGACACATCAGAACGTAATCAATCAAATATGGCATGGTCCCCAGGAATGACAACTATGATGTCAAATTATTATGATAACATGCATTGATAGCACTCTAGGTTCCTTTGTTTATAAACAACAAATCAACTCACACACCCATGTCCCTAAAGATGCTCGAACTCTTAACCAAAAGGTTGTAGAGCTCACTTGCTCGGTACCATTGGCCCAAAGGCTTCTGTTACTTCAAGTTTCTACTTCCATTAGCAGAAGAAATAGAATAAACACTCAGACACACATGATATTAATTGTTAAAAGAAGATCTATATTGCCAAAGAAACCATCAAAGACTCTTTGCAAATGAAATCCGATGTTTTTAAAAATGTCATCGAGAAAGAATAAATGTGTAGAACAAACTATAGAATGCATTTGCAACATGAAATGTACATATTCAGTGTGCAACAAAATTTTCAGCCACGTAAACAAAATTTTCTCTGACCTTACAACCAGCTTTGCCTAAAGCTAGTGCAACTGCCTTGCCAATACCTCTAGAGGCTCCAGTCACAATAACAACAGGAGCTTCCACCTTTTGTGTTGCTTCAACACTTGCTTGTTCAATAGTAGCCACCTGAGCTTTTACACCTGCAAGCCCAATTACAGTGAATAATTCAGCTTTACAAACAATGTATTAGATTATAACATATATATGTGCAAAACAGTTTCAGCAACGTATCACACAAAAGTTGCAAGTCATATAGCAATCAGTGGTATTATTTCTAGAAAAACACATAAACTTGCCTCACTGTAGGAAAATGTTTCATATCCAATTTAATTTCAATGTTTTAAATGAGAAAGGTATTATTTGTACATGCCTTACAAAAACTAGTGACCATTAATTTGATTAATCTCAAACAGCTGATTGGATATGAAACAATTCATACTAATTCGTAAAAGGAACAATAATTTCATCTCATTCTATCCTACAAGGAGAACAAAATCTTCACATAGATTGTGAAAAAAGACAACTAGCTGTGCACTTCTATTAACAATAAGCGTTGAATTTCAGATTCTACACTACAGGAGTGTGATATTCAAAAGAACAAGAAAAGAAATTCATACCAGATGAAGCAAATGACACTCCAGATCGGCATTGCGAATAATTAACGCTACGCCGGAGCTGAACTGAAGACACATTCTTTCCATGAAAAGAAACTCCCCGATGGCCGCATGTAATTCCGGACTTTTCCGAGATTCCGGTGGACTTGAAAGCGACGACAGCCGATCCGGCGAAAGAAGCAGATGCAGCCATGATCGTTCGAAATACAGACACCGAAGAAAGAGAAGCTATGGTAGGAGTCGCCACAAATGAATTGGAAGGAAGAAGGATGGGTTCGTTTTATAAGACGATACCTACCAGAGTGGTTTTCCTCTTGGAAGCTCAGACGATGGCGATATAACCGAAGCTGGAAAACCTTGGAGTGTCACCACATTTTTTCTCTTAAAAAACCCTTCTTTACGGTTTTTCTCTCAACCAAACTCCAAAAAAATGCCCACTTTTATTTAATTTTAAATTGAAAAATTATATCAAAATAAACCAACTTTCACTTGATTTTTATTATGAAAAATCAATTTTTAAAATCGTTATTTTAAAGAACTAATTTGCACTTGATTCCTATTTTGAAAAACCAATTTGTAAAATAATTATAGAAAAATAATTAAAATTCATTTTTTTTCCAAAAATTAATACAATAAAATCTATTTTTCATTTCAAATCTCGTTTTTTTAAATTCATATATCAAATTGACGATTTTAAAAAAAATCCAAAATACCACAATAAAAATTGTTTTTTACTAATGTAATTAAAAAAATCAATTTAATAGGAAAAAAATTAATTGATGTAATAAAAAATAAATATTAAATATCACATTCAAGATTTTTATATCTAACCAATTCATATCAATATTAAAGTTTATATCAAATTTGGCAAATCAAACCAAAAGTTTGATAGAGACCCTTAAATTATCTGTTACCAGTTCAACAGATCAACCAGACCCTTAAATAAATAAAAAGTTTGATAAAGACCCCTAAATGATGATTTTGAAAATTAGTTTCTCAAAATATGAATCAGATGGAAGTTGATTCCATTTTAATGCAATTTTCCTATTTTAGAATGAATAAAAAATAAAACCATTTAATATTTCTTAATTCTGAATTATTCAGACGTTTTTATTTTATTTATTTTTTAAGAGAAAGAGTTAAAAGTTAAAATTTTCAGTAAAAAATTAGGTTCATTTTTAACGGTTTTTTTATTTTGAAGATTATAATGTTATTTATATTATTTAAATATTCAACATAATATATAAAATATTATTTCTCTTTCTTAAATATTTAATTTTAAAGATTTTAATTGATAGGAAGAAATTTAGGGTGTGTTGAAAATCAACCGAAATAATTGAAACCGACTAATCCAATTAGAACCGACCGATCATAATTGGATATCCAATTGTAATTGGATCGACCTGGATTGAAAATTTCAACATCCAATTTGGATCCGTTGGTTCTCGGATGACAGTCCAGAACTGACCAAAACTGAACCCAACCGAACTGACCAACATCCAATTACCCAGTCAATTAAATTATCCAATGATCATCCAATTGCTCATCCAACCATTATCCAACAATCATCCAATTAATTTATTTTCAAATTGCTTAAATCAAAATTTGTTTTATGTGAGGCTTTGAATTTTTAACTTCCTTTGTGTTGGTTTTAACACATATTAAAAGTGATCAATCAATTTGTATCATTGTTGGAGAATTGGATTGGATTAACACACTGGATGGATCTAATCCCAACGGATCATCCATTAGATATCCAATGGATGGAACCGAACCGATCCAATCATCCATTGGATGGAGCCGAACCTAAAAAAACACAATGTGGATGCTCTAAATTACGTTATCCTAGAACAGGGTTGGGACGCCTGATTTAAACACAATGCCTTTGTTGTGAAAGCTCCATCCCCTTTCATCGGGACAATTTAGTAGAGACTATACATATGCTTCTTTACGATCAACTTATGGTTCAAATCTCATAATTGGTGACGTTGAGATCTTCCTCGTTTGAGCTCAATGAACGTGTTTTTGGATACAGATAACATCGTATAATACAAATGTAAGATATATGCACTTCCCAACCAATGTATTTGAATGTCTTGAACACGAAGTTTAAGAACAACCCAATACAAAAAGAATAATTATTCCGTTATGTCGTTCTTGAATTCATTTACAAGGGTTCACAAACGATGCACCAAGTCGAGTTGCTCACTAGATACATCATAAATTCAATATAAAATGAACTTGAACTTGAACTTGATTTCTCCGTGCTACCCCGGATATATGTGGTACTTTTTGCGTATTACAAAATTACAGATCTCACCAAAACCTGCATGAACAGTTGTAAAGTAAGATTATTTGTTGATATGGTGCGTTTCTTTACTCGTCTCCGTATGTCTAACATTCTTATATGCACGATTTTAGAGTTTTATGTCAACCACACCATTTTTCGATGAAAGTTTTAAGAGCATCTCCAATAATCTCCGAAATGAAAAATAATAGAAATTTTGAAGATCTCTTTGATAAAAGTTGTTCTTCAAGTAACGAATTAGTTGTATGTTGTCAGGTTGGAGAGTAAGGGTCATAGAAGGGCAATCACTCATTCTTAAAACCGAAGTTCCTGAGGCTGTTATAGTAATTTCTATACATTCAATGTACTCTACAAATGGACTAAAACATGGTAAAATAAGAATAGAATCCCCAAACCATTCTTCAAAACGGAGAAACCATAAAACCTCTTAATTTAAAGAAATCTCCAGAATTTACCTTTTTGTTCAAGATTTGTTCAAAAGTTTGTCGGAGTATTAAATATATTGTATATTTTAATCCTATAATTACTGCTAAAACATCCAAAATGAAGCATATATTATAATTGAATATAATTTTTTTTTGAAATTTTGACTTTTTCGTTTTCTATTTTGAAGAAATTGTTGAAAAGAAAAGCAAGCATAAATGGATTACATACCATGAAATTAACCAAGATACTTTAGCAAGACTCCATCATTTCCTAGCACGAATCCTTGTTTATCGTTGATGAACCTGCATACGTTGCATAACATGGTCGAGTTACGGAGATAAAGATTCTTGATTGAAAAACGTCAAGAATGGTCTTGTGTAAGATAAGAAACGGCCTATAAACTTACTTTACTGAGTAAAGATTGGCAGCAATATTATCGGCTGCTTTGTCACGACTCCATGACTTCCCGCTATTGGTGGTTTTCAAAAGGACACCACTTCCTCCAGCTGCCCAAGCTTCTTCCTGTATGACCAAATCCCAATTTTAGAACTCACAAGGAGCTCAAGTTTGCAGTCTACCACATCGGCTAGACACATACCCTTATATATATATATATATATATATGGAGAGAGAGAGAGAGAGAGAGAGAAAAGTTTGGTTGCAGACCTGCATCGGGGGACAAAGGAGAGTGTGACACATGTCCCTAGGTATCCACATTTATCATGAATAGTGAAGGTGAACACAGGAGCGGATCCAAAAAAAAAATCTAGGGGGTGCGGAGAAAAAATGTAAAAAATTCATGATTTCAAGGCTGAGAAACCCTTTTAAAAAAGTATATATGTTTTTAATAAATTTGAATCTCGTCCTAAAAATAGTTTTAAAAAAGAGTTGAAAAGCATGAGTGACCTAAACAACATAATTATGTCTAGATTTATACGGAAAAAAATACAAGATGTGTTTAGATAACCATATAAATAAGAAAAGCCCTTTGAAAATACATGAACGTTATCGTGAAAAATTAGTGTATTAGATAAAGTAACGTATTTTAGAACCTTTAGAAGACTTGACATTTATAAAGGAAGAAAAAGAAGAATATGGTAAGAATAAATAAAATTTCAAGTAGGTAATTGAGGTTTGGGACTATATCAAATTTTATTTTTGAAGTTTGAGCAGGAGCCAATGCCCCTTCTGGCTACAAGGTGGCTCCACCCTTGGGTGAAAATTCATGAACTATTCATGATGAAATGATACACCATTCATGATCCATGATAAATGATTCATCATTCATGATGAATAAACCACGAATGTATGGAACACATGGCGAGCTCTCCTTTGTCACCGGTTCACAACCTAAAACAGGTTTGCAACCGAACCCGCCCCTATATAATGTGTGTGTGTGTGTCTATATATATATATATAATATGTATTTCTATAGAGGAGGTTTCAAATAAACCCATTGAATTCTTACAACCAATACAAATCAATCTTGACCGCCCATCTAGTATAATGAATAGATGGTTCATAAATATTTCAATTGTTTCCTAATCTAAAGCAATGATCATAATGAATGAACTCTATCATCTTCCATAATTATCTCAGTTATTTCCTAAAATAAGTGTTGATCATGGTTTTTATTGGTTGTAAGAATTCAACGGGTTGTATTTTAAACCTCCCCTCTCTCTCTCTATACACACACACACACGTATATGTAAGAACCTTCCCCCCCCCCTTCTCTGTGTGTGTTTGTATAAGGGCTCTTTTTGAGAAAAGATTCAAAGGGGTTCCATATATCCTCATAGTTGTTACTTGTTAGATGCTATGCGCAAGTATCATGATGGTCTAGGATGAAGGGACTCGAGAAAAGGTTAATATCCTCTATAACTGGTGATTCACCTGGACTTGGTGCCTCCTGAAGCCTCAGGTCTGGGGTTAGAATAATTAAACCAAACTAAACAAACTCAGTATATCCCACTAGAAGTAGGGACTGGGAAGGATAGAATGTACACATAGACCTTACCTCTACCCAAGGAATAGAGAGCCTATATCCGTAAAGATCCTCAGCTAGCAAAACATAGTAACAGGAAACACGTGTGGCCAAGGGTTCGAACGGCGTTGCTAAAGTCTTAGGGACTATAGCCGAGGGCCAGAAGCCCTGAAATTCGCTTGGGACTTTGGTTTTTGGGGGGGGGGGGGGGGGTGGACCCTGTGGATCAGTTATCTGGAAGTTGGTACTCAAGCCAGGAGTACCATGTGTGCAAACCAAGTAATAATTAATACAAAATGGATATTACCTGTGATCTGTAACCAACATCAAGAATGCCAAAACCACGACTCTGTACTGGAATTTCTTCAAACTCCTCTGTTATCTGGGGGATGAAAGTTCAGATGATTAAACAAAATGTCAACAAAATAGAGTAGAATTATATCAGATCACTTGGAAGAGGAAGGTAACACCCAAAAAGGCATTGAGCAACAAACAAAAAGCTTTTGAATTAGTGCCGTATTTTGATTTTATGACAATTTGGCAAAGAAAACAACTCATTCTCACATGTACTACTTTCTACTAATCTCCATGTTGGCAAACATAGTTGACTTGAAAACTTTGAAACCCTCCTCCCTTTGGGGTAGCTCAACTGGTAAGACCTTGGATTTGCTCCCCAGTGGTTCACCAGTTCGAGTCCCTCCATCTGAGGTTTTCCTTGCTGTTAACTTTAGGGTCCCATGGACCCAGAGATCCTCAACTACATGCATGAGGCTTGTTTTGATCCCTCTGTTGCTTTACTAGCACGCATGAAAAGAAAACTTATATGTATAAAAATTGTGAACAAGTGTTGAACTTTTACTTACCCCTGTGCCTTTGCTGAGATAAAGACCCCCACCACGTACAAGAAGCCATAGTCCACCATCCGCTCTCCAACCCATGTTTTGGATTCTTCTTGCAACTGCCCTATTATGGGGTTGCCAGTATGGCTACAATTGTACAAATTTATGGCAGGTGGATAAGTAATGATGATTATCCAAGATTTCCATGCATAAGTAACCAATTGACCATTTCACACATAAACATGAAGGAATACCGACAGCACAAAAAACATGTGCAAAGTGGTCGTTTAAGTATATGTTGAACAAATGCACATAAAATATGAAAAATGACTGATTTTCAAGTCATAATGGCTTGAGCTCTCTGTTACCTACATACAATGTAGTTCGCTCTTTTGTATTTCAGAAACTAGGAACTTATGCAATTGTGAAGCTCAACCAAATACATAACTGAGGCAAGAAAACAGGGCCATAAAGGCTTCATATTGTTCAATTTGTAGCATAGTTCGATTGGTTGAGCAACTAACAACAATGTAAATGACAGAAACCAAGTAATGTTACTTCAGAATCTTTAACTACTAACAGAACAATAAATCAGGACTCTTATATCTATACAGATAACGTTAAGAATGGGTTTTCAGACTCCAAATCATGAGCAAATTCATAGAACATATTTACCTTGTTATATATGTATGCATGTCTTTATTGAAAATTAGATAATCGTAATGAAATGTGAGAAATTGCAGAAAAAAGACTTTCCAATTTGGCAGATGCTTCCCATAAGTTTGGTTAAAATCATGAACTGAGAAAATAAATAAGATGGGATATATCAGAGAACAGTGTAGAACAAAGAGAGGCCACTAAGATAAATCCCTCATTATTTGCTAAATATTGGGCTTATGTTGATCAAGGTTTGTTCAAAATATGTTATTTTAAACCATTTAAGTTCATTTCCATGGCAGCTACAGAATAATTTTCATCTTATCAACAGCGGGCCTCCTAGATTTCTAATGCAATATGGCATGTACGATGTTACATACAGGAGTATCAATTATAGTGTTATTCCTCTAACCCAAGAGACGTCATTGAAGGTGAAGCATGCGAACCACAAGGGTTGTGGCGTAGTGGTTGAGGTCCTGGGAGATGTGGTGGAATAACTCATCTACCCAGGGTTCGATTCCAGACGTACACAACAATTGTGGCCACTGAGTTTATGAGGGCTGATTTCTTGCGGTCACAATTTGCTGGGATTAGTTTAGGCATAGCCTGGGACACCCTTCCACTTCCAAAAAAAGGTGAAGCATGCGTGTATTAATACCTTCATAGCAATAGGTAGGAATTATTTAGTGGTAAGGTCACTTGCTTGAGTCCCTACAAATCAATATATTAATTCCATCAGTTCCCTAATGCACACAAATATATAAACGGACCTCTGGTTGGAAACTCGTTAGGGTAGAGGTTAGGTTTGTGTACACCCCAAGACACCCAACATCCAAATAGGATTTGCTGGGCATGTTTGGTTTGGTTTGGTACCACTGGTTGGAAACTCTATATGCGATAATTTGTTTGTTCTCTTTTTCTTTCTCTCTACTGTCATTTGTAATTATCACGTATGCTGCAAATATAATATACTCTTCAAAATTTATGCTCATTATACACCTCCTCTTTCCCAGGGTCAGACTACTAGATCAGTTAACGCTTGAGAAAACATCTATTTTACTATTACTCTATAGCATGGTAATGGTAAATTGATTTTGACAACTCTTTAATGGTGTTATTGTCATCAAAACACGAAATACTTATGGAAAATCAACATCAAAAAGGTCCTTACCTGTCCTGGTTCCCAAGTTAGGTAGAAATTACCACGACTGGAAACAGCAACATAATTTCCTTCCGGGGAGCGATTCACGGTATTGAAGGTGCCGGTATAGTAGCTAGCACCACTAATACCACTAGAAACTGTTCTGCAATTGATATAGAGTATTGTAACTGTTAGTTTGTACAAAAATCTACGGACAAAACTATTCTCTATTGAATGGCTAAAAATGTAATAATCATATTAATCAAGGGTGGACTAAAGACAAATAAAATCAAAAGCAGTAATGTCTTCCACTCAAAGCAATCACTTATAAAAAGTCTTCTGTCCCAACTTTGTTACCACCATTATAAACACTACATAGTTCAAAAAACTTCAGAATTGATTTATCTTTTCCAAAATACCGTCTACATACTTCTGCTGTGGTAGCAGGATATAACTCAGTCTTTCTCCTTCTCATCTTAAAATTTCTTAATTATTCTTGCAATGCATCCAAATTTAGCATTTGCCCATTTTGATTTTGTTCTACTTAATGGTAAATAGTCCATGGTCGCATAGGATTTCGTCTATAGCACCCTAGAGGATTATGAAACAGTACATAATGGGGATTCAATAGTTCACCTATTAAGAGTGGCTGAAACAGTTTCTTGTACTGCTGCCCTCCAGTTGTAACCTCTGTTTGCTGTAATATATATTGCACCTTCATCAGTTACCATCTCTGCACTCTTTTCTCCTGTTGCCTTTATGTACACCTGCAAATTTATGCGAAGAATGTAGACTTAGCTTCTACGAAATTTTTTAACTGATCGACACAGGAAAATAGGACAATTTTATAAAACAATAAAATATAAACAGATTGCCATCATGCTTTAGGATCAAAATTAACAGGGGAGAGTAACAAGTTCATATACAACAACATAGATGCCAGTGGTTGGCAACCCCTTCTTTGTTGTGTAAAGACCAGTCAGCATCTAACCATCTGGTAGTCACAGTTGGGGTGCGTTCGGTGTGCCGACAGGCCGGACTGGATGGGAGAAAGTGAGGTAGGCAAGTGAAAGAATTATGGAAGGTTTTAAGGTCCCTTTAAACTGACATGGGTAGTTTAATAATTTACTAATCTTGTCTCATCTTCCTGATTCTTGTTCCACCTATTTCGGTGGGACAAAAAAATGCATCTTTGCCCCACTTGGTCTCGTCTTGTCCTGGTATAAGAGCCAAACCTGGGACAACAAGTTTTTGTTTATTCACCAAAATGCCATTGGCCAAATCTTACCCGGTAACCCCACTTTCCTATAGGTCAGAGGTTCAAGTCTCACCAAAGGTGAGAAGTGCGTGCGAGTTTAATTTGCCATATATAAATATATATACTGCAAAAAAACAGTTTTTGTTATGTCCTGTCCTGGCCCACGTACTAAATACACCCTTACAGCTATATATATACAAGTTTAAGCTTTAAATAACTTTGTAACTTAGCATGGTATCAGAACTACGGCTTCAGAAGGTCATGTCCTCATGGGTTCTAGTCTTCCAAAAGAATGACAAGGGTGCACAAAGACTCCTCGTCGTTGTCAGGGTTAGCGAAGAACAACGTTATCAGTTGCTCCAGGATCAAGTTTTCCAGCTCGATGGAATACACATTTATGCGTGTATGTGTGCACTAATGATATGCTTATAAAGTTACATGTGATGACTGCATGTAACAGTGAGTGGACTAACTTAGGCATTACCATGTCCCCTGGGAGTTCAGCACTTAATGGTATACGCTCCCAACTATCTCCCGAGTCTGATGTATGTAACAGAATTGCTGGTTTTCCAACAATCCACCCTTCTTTTCCCTTGAAACTGATGGCATTAAACCTGTAATTAAAATCTTCATCTTCAGCTGAAGATATTGAGCGGGAAATCCATGTGTTGCCCCCGTCTTTAGTCTCTAAAAGAGTTTGTCTTGTCCCCAACAGAAAACCTACCAAAACCCACCATCCAAATGTTCCATAAAATCATATCAAAAAATTCAATAGGAGAGAAGAAATCAAAACTTTGAGAAAACAAATCACATACACACACACACACTATACATACATACACATAGTGTATATAAGAATCACACCCAATATACTACCCTTTCCTGAGCTTCATATTGCCGCAAATAGAACCGAGAAATATAATTCAACCAATATAATTATATCATCTATATATAATTGAACGAAAATGTGAAATGCTATTACTAATAATATTCGTTCAAGAAATTTTCAAATTATGAATCTGCAAATCCAAAGCCATATATTTTTCTTCTGTGAAATTGCTTATTTGATCAGTTTCATATGACTAGTGACTACATCTCTAATTTGCCAACTTTGACTTGTAACAATCCAATTCTTATTGAAGAACTAGAGATCCATCAGTTTTCTCCATTCGTTTTCTATCCGGCAGTTCCATTTTGTGAATTCCATTTCCATCAAAGTTGAAATTAAACCACAATGTGAAGATGGATATAACTAAAGTAAAAGTAAGTGTGTGTGTGTGTGTGAGAGAGAGAGAGAGAAGAGACCGTGAGAAGGATCATCAGGGACAAAAGCGATGTCTAGAAGAACGACGCCAGGATCAATTGGAAGGAGAACTCTTTCCCATTCAGAAAGCGCATCAGCTTTAGCAATGGATAATGAGCTATCCAATCCAATAATTGGCGCAAGTGAAAGCGCAACACTGGCAGCAGCGGTGTCGGCAATGAAGTCCCGACGGTTCAGCCCAGAAGCTCTAATGGTGGACAAGCTCCGTGGATGTTGTTGGAAGTTTCGAGAATGGCAAAAAGCAGCACCGTTGGGGGCAGGATGACGATGATTGAACAAAGAATTGAGAAGAGACGAAGGCTTTATCGCTGTAATTGGATTTGAACAATCACTTAGCAGTTTAGCAGCCACCATTTTCGTTGTGCTCCAAGCTCTCTCTCTCTCTTCCTCTCCTCACTCCCCGCCTTCTTATCCAAAATCCGGAAACCACCTTCGCGGGAGTGATTGTGAGTGGATAGAGTGATTCAAACGAGACCATTTACAAGCAGATCATGAAGCATAATGTCAACAATGGGGATGTAGCTCAGATGGTAGAGCGCTCGCTTAGCATGCGAGAGGTACGGGGATCGATACCCCGCATCTCCATTTTCTTTCAAATGTTTACTATTTTTCCTTTTTAGTCCTTATATAATATAACTATTTTCATTTTTGGTCCAAAACTTTGGTCAATATACATCCTTTAATTTTATTATTAACAACGCAAATATATGACCACCTATAAATAAGGTAAGGTTGTTGCAAGCATTAAAATGATGTCGTTTTGCTTATCTATACTATATTATAAAGCATTTGACAAAAACTCTTAAAAATCATTTTTATGCGTAAAGTACCGTTTAATAATGGATATTACTTAAAACTCAATATTGCAAGTAGATTGTGCGTAAGTACAACTTATTAAAGCTTCATATCTGAATTTGTGTAACTAACTGCAGATAAAAATAATGAAATACATGATAAACATATCATTTTAAATATAAAAGATCTAAAATATAATGAGGATAATCATCGAGTTTTAACATAATATTTAATTATTATCTTTATAAAATTATTAAATCAAAAATAAATTATTTCGTTATTAAACTTAAATTAAATTATAATTAAAAAAAATTAAAGAAATTACATAAAAATTAGAACTTTTAAATAGTTGATTTGATATTAACATTGATATAAATTTTTTTTCAAATTTTTATAATATCTTCAAATTTACATTTTATTCAAAAATAAAATCATTATTGCTTTCTTAAAAACATATAAAATCGTATTATAACATCGACGGAGACAAACAAATAATAAAATAAAACATTATAATCGAGATGTGAGTATTAAACCGTATATCTTCTCCCTAACCGACAAATTGAAATCCATTCTAATCCTAACCTACATCCGCTTTGTGCGCCCCCTCTCCCCCCTGAAATCCATTCTCTAACTCTCTTGATCAACGAACTCAAGCAGCACCCTGAAATATATCCCCACATTCAAATGTTGATTGATTGGATTAAGAATCAATATAATGGATGATCATCGTTCACTCACTCCTAATCTGCCATCTTTGTTTTGTTGCATCTATTCATCAGGAATTAATGCTGACTGGTTCACGTAGCAGAGCATTTTTTGTAATTCCAGTTCCATACTTCTTAGTTGTCAGTAATATATTTCGAAGGGACTTAGAGGTGTAAGTTTTTCTAGAACCTTGTACACACCATCAAGTGAAAATACGTTGTCTTTTTTATTTGGATGAAGTGTGATAACCATTTGGCTATCCGATAGCTTTCCGTGGATTGTTTGTCATTGGATGAAGTGTGAATAAAGCTCGTAATTAAAGCTAATAAAGTGTAACCAAAGAAATCATTTAAAGAAGAAATGTCAGAGTCAACAATGTTATTGGAGATGGCGTTAAAGATGCGTTTGGTACGTAGAAGAGGGTGGGATAGGACAAGACAAAACACACTTGTTCCATGTTTGGCGTGGAACTAACTTGGACAAATGTGGAACTAAGTGGAATAAGACCTAATGTACCATTATACCCCTCGCCCCTAATACGTGCGACGATTTTCCACACCTCTCATCGATTGCCTCTTTCATGTCGTTCTGAAATCAAAGATCGTCTCAAGTGTGCCAGTTGGTTTCTCCTAAATCTGTAAACGATCGATTTCTCAAGTTTGCTAATCGATCAATGTTGTTTTCTCTATAAACCCCTAGATCAATCGATTTTCTGTAAACTGTGATTTCGTCTACATCGGTCGACTGGTGGGTAGTTTCCGATTTTTGTCAACCAGAAAATCAACTTCCTTTCTTATAAACCGATAGCATTTTGGGTATACATTTAATTATTAGACCACCTTTCTTTTATAAACTGATCTTTTTAAATATTATTTTGTTGATTTTCATTTAGATTAATTATTTAGTTAAAGAAACACTAAACAGTTCATTAAGGGTAAATTGGTCGTTTAACCTATCATGTCTTGTTCTTTCCAGGTTTGTCATGTCTTATCAGACGCTGAACAGTTGTCCTGCTATGTTATGTCCTACTTACGTACCAAACACACCCTAAAGACATGCTTTACGTAAGTTGCTAAAGGTAATATTCAAATAAGGGTTTAAAATGCATTATAAAGTGGTTTTTAACACAAGATATATGTTATTCATAGTTATTTATAGAATCAATTTGCATTCTACCCATTCCCACATTCTAGGAAAGATGGACTCAACGATGTATTTTATTTGGTAAAAACATCTTTATGCTGTGATTTTTTGCTTACGTTTGATCATATTTCACATTCCGCAGCATTACGTTTGTTCATTTTTATATATTTTGATTAAAGGTTTAATACATTAAAATGTTTATTGTTATTATTATTATTATTATTATATAATGGTTTTAGTGTATGGTTGAAGTTGATCTTTTTAAAGTCTTCAATAGACCTACCTTTTTTAATATTATCTTAATGATCTTAGAAAATTATATATGTTTTTTTATAATTAAATATATTGAATAATAATTAAAAAATTGACAATATAAAAATGATTGATATGATTAATAATAAATTTCCGGTAAAAAAAAGAAAATATTTTAAATAATTAATATTAATGTATAATATATAATTAAAATTAATTAATATTTTCAACCAATACTAATTACTATTAATCAAAATTAGCAATAAATAAATTTTATTTTTATTTATTCATAATTAATATTTTGTTTATAATTAACTAGAAGCGTACTCGCGCAATGCAGCGAGATACATCGTGATTTTAATATTTCATTTTATTATTTATCTCAGTCGATGTTATAATATG